ACTCGAAGGTGTTACTGTCCTGACATTTGACAGATGCAAGGTTGTCTTTCCTCAGATTATCAGTCAGCTACCGCAGAGCACAGGGAGTTCACTCCGAGAATTCAAGTTCTTAAATGTGAAATGCCCGTTGTCTCAAACTGACGTCCACAAGCTTTCAGAGATGTATCCTAGTGTAAAGGTCACAGTTGAACATGAACGTCAGGCATCACACGAAGACTCTGAGCAGAGACTACTGGAAGACCTCCCCACCATCTCCACCCTCCTCCAACTTTTTCAATAGGTAAGTTTATTTGGAGTATACATGTATATATATTTGTACTGACAGAGCCTAATGCATAAACGCTCGTTCACATATACAGGAGTATACTGCAGCGGTTTATCCGTGCCTTAAACACATCGATAAATTAGTGCCCATTGGACCCTAGTTACAGCGGGCTACTGTTGCCATGATCAGTAGGATCAGGTGGGGGAGAGGGTTGTTCAGTCAATAAAAGATCAATCCAACCTTTGTTCATTTGTATTAATGCAGAAAAATAAAGTAAACGGAATGTCGAAAGTTTAAAATATATCCGACAAATAATACGAAAATTATAAATGTTTTAATTATGAGATCACTAAGTCTATGCTAATTTCAAATTGGCAGTTCGGTCAGTGGATTGTGAAGTAGGCTGAATTGGCGTTTGGTTTGACGCCCGTTCGCCTACTAGCCAATTAGTTTGTTCCCATATGTTGTCCACTTATGCCAGCCCGTCTACTATCCACATTGTCGAATTTTCATTTGGTCTAATCTCTTATACGTCCACTAGCAATTTGGTGTTTTTTTTATTTAGTCTTATATCCAGTAAGTCTAATTCTCAATTTGTCTAATGCCTATTTCATCTACTTTTGATATGGTCTCATAATCATTTGATCATAGATAATGATAATCGTCAAATGATTGTTATACCTCATGGAAAGTAGACGAAATGATTTTTAGACCATGTGGATAGTAGTTTGGCTGGGATTGGACCATATGGGAATGGACTTATTGGGTGGTACATGAACTCGTTGTAGACCAAACAGCAATATAAACCCTGACGCAGTCGCAATTAATTCTTTATAGGATAATTTCTGCCACAACATCACAGAGACTTTACTGATTCAGTCAATTTGAAGAGCATATACCTTTAATGATTACAACATTAACAAAAAATTACTTTTTTTTCTGGACACCCAGCAGGTGGGTTCATAATACAAAAAGCCACTGCAATAAATCGTGGCATATGTAAATTAGCCTTTTGTTGGGATATACATGCAGATAATGTTGTTCAAAATAATGTTGAAATATTAGTAGTAAATACCATGATTCATTCATAAAATCTCAAGATGGTTGTTAAATACAGAGGTCACAATCTGTATATCACAATGTTACACGGATATGCATTGTGTATACTTGTTAAGTTGATTTTTGTTTAAATAAGAAAAAAAGAATTATTATATTAGCAGCCTCAATAAAAAGGATCTTTATTCTGAGCCCGTTATAGACTGATTATATCTTACAGATGAGCTTGTTGGAGCCACAGCAAGGGTCCAAGTTCATGAAGGACAGACAGACACCCAGAACCCTGAGGAAGAAGGAAAGGTGGAGGAAGAAGGAAAGGAGGAGGAAGAAGAAGAGGATAAATAAGAGGATTACACTGCCATAGAAGGCCTGCTCCATAAAACAGGTTAATATTGTGACTTGGCCAATATCAGTAGAAATTGATTTGGAGAATAAGAATAGGGAATTAAAAAAAAAAAAGGCTATCTAGTGCTATACAATTGAGATGTGTCTAAGGATAATGAGGCATCTCGTGCGTGGTCCTAGCAAGAAGAAAGTTTTGTATTGTTCTGCAAAACACAGGAAAACAGGGCAAGTCTAGGTAGGTTACGATTTTTTTTTTCTTTCATCTTATTATTCCATTATTTAACAACAACATTTATGACACATCGGTTAAAGGTAACTGTGCTTAATCATTTAAGTTGAAACATAACATAATTCATATAAATTGCTATTGCTACAATATTACATGCGTATGCACTGTGTGGACTAAAATACAATAGGAAAATAAATTTGAAATCATTATAGTAGCCTCTATGAAAAGGATCTGTATTCTGAGTCCCTTATTGACTGAAAGTGTTATATAAATGAGCTTGCTTGTTGCATCCACAACAGTGGTCCAAGTTCACAAAGAACAGACATTGAATGTATTAAACCATACATAAATATAAAAGCAAAACATACAATAGAAAATAAAATACATAAAGCATACAAAGCAAATATATGGTCAGGACCAAAAGAAGCAAATTGGTTATAAATAGGCCCCCACAAAACGGACACAGTTGAACTTAATTTTATACAAGCGGGTAATTGGTTCTATTTCTTCACGCCGGCAACATTCAATGAATTAAGTGAAGAAGTTAGTTCTTGGGTTGATGAAAATGTTCTTTTTCGACGAGTGGCATATGAATGGATATTTGAACTTTGAATAAACATACCCTAGAGGAACACCACAATATTTTTGCTGTTTAGAATATTTGACACCATTGACCGTCAAATACTGTTTTCTTTCTTCAGACAAGTAGTTGTGAATCACTTTAATGCAAGACCTGTAATATCATAAAAGTAAATCTTTCTCAAAGATATGTGGTGGTCAATGGAGTCAAATGCTTTTGAGTCTATACCAAGTCCAATGCAAAAGTTATCCTTTTCGACTTTATTTTGTATACATTTAGACAAATCTGAAACAGCCACATGCAGCAGTTGACATTTATTTCCTTCATCCAAATTGTCCATCAATCAACATTTATTTAACCGTAAACAAATAAATACAAGTTCATGAATATTTTTTCGACCATTTTTGAAAAGAAAGAAAGATTGGACAATAATTAGTCAAGTCATTTGAGTTATACATTTAATATAAACTGGTACAATTTTAGCTAATTTCAAACCATAGGGATAGTTTCTGTACAATTGAATGTATTAACTATGAGGCATAATGGTTATTTTTTTTAAGTGGAAATCTTACTCACTTTAGGGTCTCTTATCATTCGGTCTGATTGATTTAGAAGCCTTTAAAGAAGAAGAAAAAAAATATTCATGAACTAAAGAAACCTTTTATAGATTCGCTGTTTTTTCTGCATATACTTTAAAGAACCTCTTGTTAAACGACGGTTTTTAAAAGTTATATTTTTGACTTTTATTATATTTCCGGAAAATATTCATCATAATAAAGTTGAATGAAAAATGGACATAAAAATGATATAACAATTATTGACGCCATAGCAGGCATCATCACAACACCAATAAACTGCACTTATTTTACTTTTAAATCTAAGTAAGTGTTCATCGTTAATTCGTCTTTCATGGAATCGTGAGTGACTTCAAACCAAGAGCTTTTCTTCTCTTTTTAATACAAAATGTAGGAAAATGATCAGAAAATACAGAATCATTAGCTATCATTGATCAAACAATCAATTTCAATATCAGAATAATTGCAAAATATACTTTCAATCAACGTTGCCGATGTTAGTGATATTCTTGTTGGTCAAAGGGTACAAATTATGAGAAAACGTTTCTAATTCGTCTCTTCATGAGTATACGCATAATTATAAAAAAATTATGTTATAATCACCCAAGGTATAAATATCGGTGCGGTGATTTTTTTCTAACGTTCAAGTATTAATTCAATTTATCCAGAAAATAATCAATGTTTGTATTTGGTACTCTATAAATACAACCAACTATAAGAGGTTTTCAATTAGTTTACCTTAATTCAATAAATCAAACGTCATATTCTTGCATATTACAAGATAAGTCAGACCATATTGTATAATCATATTGATCATCTATGTACTTCCAACACCATTACGTACCTCCGTGAAAATAACCCCCTTTGAACAATCACACCCCTGGCCTAGGACAATTACCACCCCCCCCCCCCCCCCTCCCGACAAAGTTATAACCAACTTACTATTAGTGAGGACTTCCACTTTAATGAACAAGGGTCAATTTCCTTGGGGGTGGTTGTTCTTGGTTTTTCGGGGGGGGGGGGGTAAATTTCAGGGGTGGGGGTTAATTGTCCTTGAGAAGGGGACACTTGTCCTTAGGGGTGGTTGGTCTTGGGGGTAATTTTCAATGGGGATAATGTCCTTGAGGGGGCTGTTTTTGATTGAAGACATTTTTCTGATGCACCAGTAGCCGTGAATCTTTAAACAATGGTATCTAACATATTACAAAATGCATCAACATTTTGAGTCAAACTGTTGGCATTTTTGTCAAGAAGTGATACATTATTGTCATATTTTTATAATTATCCAGAAATCCGTCACAAATAGTGAATGTACATTTTCTAGGTTGAATATATAGTAAATTAATTTTAATCATTTCTATTTACTAACATTTAATTGGCATTGTATCTATACAGCACAATCTTGTAGACTTATATATTCATTTTCTTTCTGGTTTTCATTTTGTGCTAGTCATGTTAGTCATTGAAATAATTTATCACGGACTTTTAAGTGTGGGTTATGAAAGAGAATAACATTGTGCCTGTAAATACAATTTTGCAAATACATGTATTTAGTGAACACAAAACCTGTTTATTCAGTTATAAATGTCAATTATTAAAACAATGTTGTTTTTTGTAATCTTTGTTCATGGACCAAATCGATATTCCAGGATTCTCTATATATTTAATGTAAAAATGGTTTAAATGAGATACATCAACTTAATTTTGTATTGCTTTTATTTTGTTTTATTCAGGATGTTATCCTGGCAAATTAAATATATGAGTGTTTATGTTTTCATTTTCAATTAGCTCAGTGAATAAACAAAATAAAAGTTAGTGCATGCATTCTCCAATATTTGTCTTTTGATGCGTATTTAAGTTATACCTGAGAGAAAGAAAGATGTACGGCATATTAAACCAATTGATCGAGAGATTGGTATGTGATAGAGTGAGAGAAAGGCACGGAGAGAAAAGGTCTTTGGCGATGTTAAAGAGCACGGCACAGGCAATTATGATGTCGCATGCTCTTGGTGCAGACATCTGGATCCCTTGTCCCATCAGGCACCTGAATTTGTTTTTCAATTGCCCATTCAATTGTTCTATGGTGACACGTGTTCTGCAGTGTGCCCTGTATACATAGTAGTCAGAAATATTATAATGAATAATAATCCAACACTGTAGTAATCAATTTTTGGTACATGCTACATCTCTCAGGATCTTAATTAACCCAACTTACCCTTTAAGAAAAAGCATTTGTAAATATCGATATAATATATGCTATTATCTTGCCAAGACCTTTTCTTCCTTTATTACATCCTTAACAAAGACTCAAACTAGAATTGTATTCATTTTGTACCAATATAGTTATATACTATTATAAGATCTAAATATTTATTTATCTTTTTTAATTTATACATTATTTATATTCAAATGAACATAATTTATAAATGTATATAAAGTATATGGTATTATGATCTATGTGCAAATTTTGAGATGTACTTTGTACAAATATAGTTGGTATTATGTTATTAAACTGATACATTCCATCACTTTTAATCATTGAAAGGCTCTCTGATTATTTGTAACACTTTAAAGATTTGAGTGAACGTGATGGATTGAGTACTTGCCTGTTGTAATTTCTTTCAGCATTGCCTTGTGGGTCCCGTAGTGGGGTGATTAGCCAAGGCTGGAGGGGGTAGCCGGAATCTCCAACCAAGATGCCAGGTAGCTCTCCGTCTGCGAAACGCTCTCCATGCAATGCGACTGTTCTGTGTATTGAATTATGAAGAAATGTATCATTATTATTATCTTTGCAAAATGTGATTAACAAAACAAAACAAATACAGTTTGGGCTTCTCTCAGTCCATAGCAAACAAATTGAGAAAGATGTCAGACATTACATTGTACTTTAATATTTCTTTAATATCAATGTGACATTAATTTGTTTAAATTAAAAATTAAAATTACTAATATAGGCTTAATGGATGATTGATGATGATAATGATGATGGTGATAATGATTTCAATGATGAGTAGGATGATAATCATGATATTGGCAGTGATGATAATAGTGATCAGAGATGCTGATAAAACCGTCACATACCCTCAATACTCGGCTGTCGTGAGTGCTCCCAGGCCATCTTGCACACACGTTGGTTATCTTGTACCTCGCATTGCAAATAAGCTGGACGTTTATGGAGTGCTTGCCCTTTCGGTTAGTATAGATGTACTCGTCGTCTAGAAGGGGAGCCCCATGCAGTTCAACGTGAGTCCCGTCGACGGCCCCGACAACGTTGGGCATTCCAGCGAGGTTGAAAAAATCGACCTGTGCCGTTCTGACTTCTTCCATGGTTTCCGGGAACTTGATCACCTGTTGGTAAAGAGTAAATATGTATTAAATTGTATTCATATATGTCACACTTTTGGCAATGTTCAAATTTGTAGTGATAGCTACATGTAGTTTAACAGAGTCTGCAAATACAGACGAGCATGTATAACTAAATATAGAATGACCTGCAACCCATGACTCATGCCAGGTCATGTTATGAAACAATGAGTACTTGTACAGGGGATGCCTACAAAGATGTCTGACTGACATAGAGCCTCAATAAAGCTATACAACTTATTAGTTCAATCAAAGCTCTCCAACTGGTCTTTTATAAGAACATAATATGGTGTCAGAACTTAGCAGCCAGTGTTTGTGCTGAGCAACCCAGCCTGCAGTATATCTATGGAGGAATCATTGAAATCAGGCCAGTTCAATCCAATTCTTTGTGATGTGAGAGATGATTAGAGTCTAAGTGTATGTCCAGTGAATGTAGTTATGTCCATAATAGTTAGCGCTGTCGTTGTATGGATTGGAGTGCATAGTTCTGTGCCGGGCCAGTTCCAGTATAACGGGCAGTAAGCGTGACATATATGGGACATGAACATACAGGATAACTCAGTGAAAGTTAATAGTTGAGCTTAAAGTAATTGTTGCAAAGATACAAAAAGAAAAAGCTAATTGTTATGCTGTTCATGTGAGTGATTACACTAGGCTAAGAAACAAAATGGCAAATCTCAGTCAACCTCCTCCACTCGACTTCAAGGGAAATATGTCCGAGAACTGGAGAAGATTTAAACAGAAATTCACTCTATACAATGTTGCCTCAGGAATGTCTGAAAAAGATGAAAAGTTACAAACATCAATGCTTCTACACGTGATTGGCGATGCTGCCTTGGAATTGTATAATACGTTTGTATTTGCTGAGGGTGAGAGCATGAAGCTTGAGAAAGTGTTGAACAAATATGAGGAATATTGCATGCCGAAACGTAATCTAACGTATGAGAGACATAGATTTTTCACAAGATCTCAGTTAGTGCATGAGAGTGTTGATCAGTACGCAACAGAATTGCGGAGTCGTGCTCAGTCATGTGAGTTTTCCATGTTGAAAGAGAGTCTTATCCAGGACAGAATTATCTGTGGTATTTTAGACGATGGTCTAAGAGAACGTTTGTTGAGGCAAGATGATCTTACATTGGTTAAAACGTTGCAAGTATGTCGTGCGGCTGAACAAACTCGAACGCAGGCACAAGCGTTGAGTTCCGCAGGGGAAAACGCTTCAATTCCGGTAGATTCTTTCAGCAAGACTAAGAAGAAATTTCCTGGTTCAAAGTCAAAATGGTCAGAACCTCAAGGTCGTACTAAACGTGATGCATGTAGCAGGTGCGGAAACCGACATAGCAAAGACAAATGTCCCGCACAAGGTCAAACATGCAAGAAGTGCGGTAAGCAGAATCATTTTGCTAAATGTTGTAAAACCCCAGTAGCCAAGGTCAATGAACTGCAGCACTTGGAGGTAAATTCAGAAGGTTTCATGATTTGCTCTGTTGAATCAAAAGAATCCAAGGATGAATGGATAGTTAATCTACTAGTCAATAACCAGCCGGTTGACTTCAAGGTTGATACTGGTGCTCAGGCGAATCTTCTTCCTGAGACAGTATTTCACAAGTTGAAACCAAAACCAAAGCTACAGAAAGCCAAAGTGTTGTTGACAGGTTATTATGAGACAGATATCCCGGTCAAAGGTCGTTGTTGTGTACAAGTTGAGTACAAAGGGATCAAACGCAATGTGCCGTGTCTAGTCATTCCTGGAAATCGTCAGCCTTTGTTAGGATTACGGACGAGTGAAGACTTGTATCTGGTGAAACGGGTGTATCATGTTGAGAAACAAACTGAACACGGAACGGGTAAAAGTGTAGTTCAAGACTATCAAGATGTGTTTGTAGGTCTAGGTTGTCTTCCTGGTAAACACCACATCACATTGAGAGAGGATGCACATCCTGTTCAGCATGCATGTCGCAAAGTTCCATTTCCACTTAAAGATAAACTCAAAGACGAGTTAGATAAGATGGAACGAATGGACGTAATCACACGAGTTGATGAGCCAACTGATTGGGTTTCTTCTCTCGTGGTGGTGATGAAAAAGAACGGTCAGCTCAGGGTCTGTCTAGATCCAAGAGACCTGAACCGAGCAATCAAAAGAGAACACTATCAATTGCCATCAAGAGCTGAAATAACTGCACATTTTGCAGGAGCCAAATACTTCAGCAAGTTAGATGCATCTAGTGGTTTTTGGCAGATCCAACTAGATGACGAAAGCTCCAAACTTTGTACGTTTATCACGCCATACGGAAGGTACAAGTTCTTGAGACTACCTTTTGGTATTTGTAGTGCTCCGGAAGTCTATCACAAGATAGTGCACCAACTGTTTGCACATATTCCGGGAGTTAACACAATGATGGATGATGTGATTGTATGGGGAACTACCCAACAGGAGCATGATGACAGATTGAGAGAGGTTCTCAGCATTGTGCGAAAAATGAATCTCAAGTTGAACAAAGACAAATGCGAGTTCAATGTCAAGAAGCTCACATTCATTGGTGACTTGATCAGTGATCAAGGAGTTCAACCTGATCCAAAGAAAGTGTCTGCTATCTTGAACATTGAGAGACCGAAATGTCGGAAAGATGTCCAACGGTTCTTGGGTATGATCAATTACCAAGGGAAGTTCATTCCAGATCTGTCGACCAAGTCAGCAGCGCTGAGACATCTACTAGACAAAAAGAATGTATGGACATGGGATCATGCACAAGAGGATGCATGGAATCAGCTGAAACAAGCTCTGATACAAGAGCCAGTCCTACATTTCTATGACAGCAAGAAACCAACCAAGCTGTCAGCAGACGCATCAAAGGATGGTATTGGTGCAGTGCTACTACAGCAATATGATCAAGATTGGGTTCCGATCGCATATGCATCTAGATCAATGACTGATGCAGAGACTAGATATGCACAGATCGAGAAAGAATTGCTGGCAATCACATACGCATGTGAAAGATTCCATCAATACATCTATGGACAACAAGTAGAAGTGGAGACTGATCACAAGCCACTTATTCCACTGTTTGTAAAGTCACTGGGTGACTGTCCCCTACGCATTCAAAGGTTACTCATCAGGGTACAGAGATATGATCTCAAGGTCTTGTACACGCCTGGAAAGTACATGTATACTGCTGATACATTGTCCAGAGCAGTAGATCCAAAGGCTGAGTTGAATGCTGAAACTGAGGAAGATATCAGAGTCTACGTAGATGCTATTGTCAAGAGCATGCCAGTTACATCGAACAAACGAAATCAGATTGTCGAAGAGACAAAGAAAGATGATCAACTGCAAGAGCTGCTAGGCATCATCAGAGATGGTTGGCCGGAAACGAAGCAGCAATGTCCAGTTCGAGTCAGGGAATACTGGAACATCAGGAGTGAACTCTCTGAAGCAGATGGCATCATCTTCAAAGGCAGCAAAATAGTGGTTCCCACTACGATGAGAAGGTTCATGCTAAACAAAATCCATGAAGGACACTTAGGCATCGAGAAGTGTAAGAAACGTGCTAGAGAAGTCATCTATTGGCCCAGAATCAACACAGACATCACTGAAATGGTCCTAAGTTGTACTTCATGCCTAATGTCCAGACCAAAACAGGTCAATACTCGATCAGTGAGGGGAAGAAAGGAGGATCATAAGGTGAAGCAAAAAGAGCGATTCGACAAACATGCTCGAGACTTGTCAAAGCTAAAGCCTGGAGATCATGTCATACTCCAAGACATGAAAACCAACACCTGGTCGAAACGTGGTATTGTCAGGTCTGTCCAGGATCGAAACAGATCATACCAGATCGAGACAGAAACAGGAGAGATACGTCGCAGAAACAGACGTCACCTCAGGCCAGTCCCACGTCATACAACAAGCCGAGTCTATTCCACTACCAACACAGGATGACTTCGAGCTAGATGACACTGCAGAAGCTACAGAGCAACCAGCATCTGAAGAAAGCTCAACTACGTCATCAACCAGAACCAGAAGCGGACGAGTTATTAAACCGCCAGATCGCTTGAACTTGTAAATAAATGAAAGCGAACTACAGAGAAAGACTTTCGCGTTTTTTAAATAGTTTATAGTTACAGAGTTCAACTTGGACTTTAAAACATAACTGCAGGATTGCATGAGCATGATATATATATTTGCATGTTATAGTTTAAAAATATAACCGGATTCAATTAGTCACTTTGATTACAGAAATCAACAGATATCACTCAACCTCAACGGAGAATTCCAGTTTCGCGAATCGCAACCTTGAAAGATATGGACTGTCGCGTAATAAGTTATATATTTGAAAGCGACAGTACTCCAGCTTTAAGGGACAGAATAATGCCCTAGTACAGTCGCGAGTGTACAGGTAGTCCACCCTGTCACTCTGTACAGTTTAAGAAGTTTTATATATGTATATGTAAACCTCTTTTAAAGAAGGGAGGTGTAGTGATAGCTACATGTAGTTTAACAGAGTCTGCAAATACAGACTAGCATGTATAACTAAATATAGAATGACCTGCAACCCATGACTCATGCCAGGTCATGTTATGAAACAATGAGTACTTGTACAGGGGATGCCTACAAAGATGTCTGACTGACATAGAGCCTCAATAAAGCTATACAACTTATTAGTTCAATCAAAGCTCTCCAACTGGTCTTTTATAAGAACATAATAAAATTCATAGACTGTAAATAGTGTTAATATTCAACAACAAAAAAAGTGAATGATTTTTCATCTAATTTGATATACCAGTGATGTTTTATTGTATAGTACTATTTCTCATCATAGTCAATTCACTATAACGAATTGTTATGATAAGGGAATTTTTTTCAGGGGGAGGTAATAAATCAAGTGTTTCATGTTCAATTATTGATATAGTTCAAATAAGACATTATATAAACAGCAGTGATTTGATGAAATTAGAAAAAACTCCCACTATGATGCCATATCACGTGTTTTAATCCAAGATAACTTTTTAATTATGTATCCTTTATCATATTTAATGGCCCATTTTTTATTACAAATCAGCCGTTTCATTTCTTTAATTTTGTTTTATCAATTAAAAAAAAAACGTCTGGATTTCTTCTTAAAAAGATGGATTTTTTAGGTAGTAAGGAGTTTGAAAGTGTTTATATTCATCATTTGGTAAACGTCTCGAAACAACTGGTATAGACACGATCATATGAAAAAAAAATATGCACGATCAAGAAAACAAATTGACAACACCATAGCCGTCTTTCATTTTCACAACAAAATTTTGAGTGTCTAACTTTAGATAATTCTCGCTACACGCTTAATTCGATGCAGCGCGCAGGATCGTCGGGAGATGTAAAGAGAGCTAAGGCCAAGCCTCTAGATATACCTGCGATCAGCAGAGGTGAACAATTTTACAAAAAAACGTTCGTGTATATTTCAAAACTTTTGTGAGTACCTTTTCAGTACCGTGTTGACAAATTATTATGCTATAGTGTTAAACCAACTCGAAGTTTGTGACTCGGTCACTCAAAACCTTCGGGTAAGTACAGAATCTTCGTGCCTTACATGAAATTCCACATGTGGGACTGGTCGCAAAAAATAGTTTCGTTGCATTTGGGTGGAGACTACAGTGACTTTAACAACAATTGTATAAAATCTCTGTTACGTGAATTTGATTTCAGTAACCCTGATATATATCCGTAAGCCGTTTAATTGATCTAGATTAGTCATCTAAATATTTTTTGGTATAAGGATGAGAAAATTAAGATTCTTCCAAGAGTAAATGGGGAAAATTGCGGTGCCATCGCAGCCGATACGCCAGTCGGGTGTCGCTCGGCGGGTGCAGGGCTAGCTGCAGACGGTAGACGGACTCCATAGCAACGACAGGGCCATTTTTTTTTGTAAATCGAGACTTGAAAGAACTTATTTAAAAAGTTCATTTATGGATAAAAGATCTCGAATTAAGGCCTATATCTACCGAAATGGGGTTTTGCCTCATGAACACTTTACTGGGTATAGATCTATATTTTAAGGAATGAATATTGGTAAAAATCTGTGTTCTAGATCTAGACCTAAGAAATGATCACATTCACATAATTAATTCAGGATTTAAAGTCTAAGAATGGATCATATTCATGCCATAAAAACATTAACAAAATGAATAAATACCTCGTCCCGGAGCTCGCCGAGGGCTAGAGCGACTCTCCGCACCGTTCTAGATGTAGTAGGCCTAGAGATGTGGATGCCATGGATGCAGCTAGTGCAGTCCATCACAGAGCCGGTGGCGAAAAAACGAAGGGCGACGAAAACCTGCAAGCTTGGTGGTAATGCGTGGTTTCTCCGGGTACTATGTTGGATCCTTCTGGATAGTCTGTTGATCAGGTGGAGGCATCCCTGCCTGCTGAACCTATACAACTTGAACATTTGTTCGTCGTCGTATAGGTCCAAGGGATGCCTCCGATCGCGAAATACCCTCTCTCTCCGGAGAGCAGCGGCGTGCTGTATGGCATGTAGTATGGCTGCCATCTTGGAATGAAGGCTTACCGTAATTGATTGATGGTAGTTAACGCTACCTTCATAGCTGTAGTAAAGTTACCGCTGTTTCTGAAGTGCTTACCGCTAAAAAACTACGTTAACTCTTTATGCAATGGAAAGTTAACGCTTACTTTAAATTTAACGCTGTTTCTGGACTTACCGCTAAATTAGGGGCTTAACGCTACGTTAAAAGTTTTATGCAACGGGGCCCTGGTCTTTACCTTTAACATTAGCGCTGCTCACCTGTTAATGAAGAAAAACCCGTATTTCATAATAATTACACGTAATGCTATTATAGACAACAAGCGGAGGGCCAAATTCAAATATCATGCTTATTTTTTGAGTTGCCTGCCACTACACCACAAACTAAGCACTTTTTTGTGAAAGATGTTATCATACTACACAATATTTCATTTTTTTAAAGTATTTGTAGCAGACCCCCCGTAATCGGAGGGGGCGTCCAAAGTAGCAGCCCTTTTGAATAAAAATAGTATTTTGTGAATAACATTTTGAAGAAACCTTGACCACCATAATCTAATTAATAAAAAATTTAATTATCTACATTATGTTACCGACTTTTACGGAATCGGGACTAATTAACATCGCAAATTTAGGTCAAAACATGAGTATTTGTGATTTTATTTGCGAAAGTCTTGGTAGTTCAGGGTTTCCTTAAAATATTATTTACCAAATTACCAAAGCTAAGTTTTGTACACCAACCACCGAACTAAAAAAACACCTGAATACTTGAAAGCTTGAACTTTGAACATGTGAGGTGGTCATTCATATCATTCCTTCCTTTTTAAACAATGTTTATTTTGTGCACCGATCCATGTGTAATGCGGAGCTACACTACGCACTGCGCCTCTCTTGTTAGTTGCATACACTCAACATGTACGCTGTAATACAACACCACTAGCTGATAGTAGAGAGGTCCTCATCACAACAGTGAAACAGTGAGGTAACGTTATGTTTTATATATTTAAAAAAAAAAGAAGCTTGACATTGATCAGATGTGGGTTATTTTGGCGAATTTTCTTCAATTTTCAAAATTTTCACAAGATTTCAAGACAGTTTTGGAGGGGCATATTTTGCCTCAAATCGTTCCAGGTTCAAAACGGGTTTCATCAATAACGTGAAATATCACTCACGTGCAAAGGTAGCTAGTACGTGGAGGGTTATGACCCAATCTTTTGAAATTTTATGAACCGAGATACTGAATTGATAATATTGCCTTATCTTTGAATTATATCATTGTAAATATAGTTTGCAAACTGTTGATATCCATTATAGCTGACAATTTCAATTATAATGCTTTGTCAGGTAAAGGAATTGTTTCATATTATCCAAAATACATCTTCATTTAGTCAAAAATGTCGCTTGTCAAAAGTTTAAAGAGTAGTTCCTAAGCGTTGACAATACACTCCTTACTATGAAGAGTAATTTGGTAGTCATATTGATTTTGTTGATTTTCATTATGGTATCTTAAGAGGAGTTTGGTAGTCATTTTATTTTGTTAATTTTTATTCTGGTTTTTGAAGAATAGTTTGGTAATCATGTTTATTTTGTTAATTTTCATTCTGGTTTATGAAGATTAGTTTGGTAGTCATGTTTGTTTTGTTCATTTTCTGTTAACCCTGTTGGGAAGTCATAAAGCCTTGTTTTGTCATGATTCCTTGCAGTAATTTTGAAATATACCAATCACCAAAACATAAGCTGCTCTAAATACTTGATGTAAGGTGTTTCATGTGACTGTATACTGTATTCAAAATAAGAGCTTCAAGTGTTACTTCTGGAAAGAGAAATTGCAACTTGAGTAAATTCCAAGTGAACAGTAAAACGTCATGAGTAGACTGTTGCCTCTGTTGCCTCATTTTCTGTAATACATGCCCATTTTTGGTTCTCATTAGTGGATTTGCTTCCTCTCTGGTGTTTGCCCCTTATCAGATGCAAGAGGTGCCTCATTTTCACCGCTGATAAAAATTCCATTTTAATATGAGAAAATCACAAATATGGCAAATAACGTATCACTCAAAAGTGGTAAGCTAACAAATGGCCATCGTAGGCCTACAAGTCAACTACATATCTTTTAGGTCAACTACATATGTGGTGATTTATACAAATACACTGTCGCTCATATAGTTCGAATATTTTTGTTTTACCCCAATTGATGGAATTATTTTAAAAATAATTTTAAAATAATAGATCTAGATAATAGTATACATTCTCAGATTTTATTGAATAATAATTTACCAATGTGTGTTTTGCGCGACTGCTAAAGCATGTGTATGCTACTATGCTTATCAACTAGGGGACCTTTTTGTTTTGTTCACCTGTAGAATAAAGGCTGACATACACTGTTGGTCATAAAGGTGGAATAATTATTTTTACCCCAATTTATGGAATGATTTTGACAATGATTTATTCCTAATAGATCTAAGTAATAGTATACATTCTCAGATTGTTTGCGATAATAATTTGCGAGTGTTTGTTTTGTGTGACGGCTAATTAGCATGTGTGTGCTAATGTGCTAATAAATTAGGGGACCTACGCCATTAAGTCATAAATGACAGTAATGAGGATTAATGCCCCACAAAAAGGCACTAATATAGCACATCGACACGGTTTTGATCCTGGGACCTCACAGTTACGAGGCCATTGCTTTGTCACTGAACCATGACTGTACGCAGCGGGGGCTAGGGTAGGGGGCAGTTTCCATAAATATAAACAAAAACAGAAAATGCAATAACTTTTCAACAATTTATTGCATTTTACCCCGGTCCCCCAAATAAACAAATCCTCTGTGCGCCCATGCCTTGAGCCATAATGATATATAATGCCGATATGTGTTTGATCAATGGCAACTCTGAAACCCAGAACATTGTTAAGAAGTGAGTACATTTTTTTGATTTTTCTCAAACAGGATGTCACTGCCCTGCTTCTCTTATTTTTATACATTGCATGCTTCTGTTTACGTCGACTTGATTCCAAAGTGGATTCCCAAAGTGGATTTCCCTTTAAAGATACTATGTCCCTTTTGCAGCCAACATAAAATTATGTAGAACTTTGCAGAAATTATGAATATGTCATGTATGTGCTATCTGTGAATTTTAAATGTTAGTAGTGTCCTAGTATTCAAATTATGCAAGGAAACCCATTTACTTGCTAGACTTCACTGTCAGACACTATTGAGTGACTGATTGGCTTCTTTGGTAATAACATACATAAAATGAGCTGTAAAGGGTACATAAGCATTTGTCTACATCAATAACCCACTTCTTGTAATGGCCAAAATTAAACTATTTGAATCTTTGCGCGGCACAAAACGTACGACCATTCGGTTCAATGGTCTGAAAATCTGACTATTACTTCCTGACTTGGTAGCACTTAAGTCGATTCAACTACTAAAAGTCGTCATTTTTCCACTTAAAGAATTTTCAATTCAAGTTTTTTTTTAGGGAAGTTCAAATTAGTATTATCTTTCAAAAGCCGTTGGAATTTAACTTTTTCAGTTTGAGGGCCTGCAAATGGGACATAGGACCTTTAAACTACTGGAAATAAGGCAAAAATAAGATTAGGACAGTCACTGCATCTTCTTGCTTGACAAGTGCTCTTCCTGGTAGAAATAATAGTCCAAAATTTTACCATTATCTGTCGAGCTGAATACTATTTGTATCCTCCATGCAGGTCATCTCGTACACTTCGAAGATGGCCGACGATCCAGCTAGGAGGCCTAAAGAGCAGGTCAAGGTTGGCAAGGTATGTAAATGGAACCAGATAACACCAACTATTTTTATTTCAACTTTCTATGTTAGGTTCATAGAAGAAAGGCTTCATTGATTATACAACTTTTCAAGTTGGAGAAGCATCTGAAAATATCCATACCCATGTAGTGCGAATTGAATTAAATTTGTAGATTTTGGAGATGTCTGAACTTCTGAACATTATATTTGTGAGGCAATGAAATTTATGTTACACTATTAAAACCTACATTTTTCATGTGTATCTTTCTGAGATTATGACAAGCAAACATTTGACCTCTACCAGTGGACATTGAAATGCTTAAATTGTCACTCGTACTTGGAAAGAAGCTACATTTTAATGTAAATATGCTTTAATTTATTTTTTAGTCGATCAAGCAGAAAGGAGGAAATAGGTCTGGTGATTCAACTACAAAACGGGCTGACCCATCCAAGGTTTGTGTGCATGAAACTTTCAATTCCATTTCTTACTTTGGGTCCAAGTTTATACTCAACATGACCTTTTACTTTATAAACAGACACGATTTTTCATTGCCATGATTATGGTTTTATAAAATGCCTTCACTTAAAAAGCTGTGACAGCTACAGTAAATAATAAGAAGGAATAAAGCTTGTGTAGTCTGCCTGGTCAGAAATACCAGTCTTTCCCATGGAAAACATTGATCTCTTTTGGTCCTTAGAAACCAGGCACAATATTTAGATGTATGATCATATAGTGGTTACTTGTCTTTCCAAATGTTTATTTTTCCGAAGGTTTATATATTTCAAAACAGATTTCCCATACCTTTAAATTCCCCTTAGGGAAACAACTCCAAAACAACCCTCTTTTTGGTCACAATGTCCTGTTGGGATCACATGCTTTATAAATGCTCTTAAATTCTTCCTTAACTCTTTTCAGATAAGCAAGACAGCCGACCAAGAGTCGTCTGGATCCGCAACTATAGAATTCGGGGTTTGTATGCACAAATTAATTGTAGCCATCTATCGTTGCTGCCTAATCCATGTATTTGGTTGTTAAGCTTGTGTAATCTACTTTGTCAAAAAAAAATCAGTCTTCCCCGTAGAAAACAATGATCTCTTTTGGTACCTAGATACCCGGCACAATGTTTAGATATATGATCGTATAGGGGTTACTTCCAAAGATATATTCTTCTAAGGTTTCATATTTCCAAAACACTAATTCCCCATTCCTTCAATATCCCCTTTGTGGGGGGAGATTTAGGGTCAAAACATTATATTTTGATCCCATGCTTTATAAATACCTTTAAATCCTTCCTGAACTTTTTTCATATGATGATACAGATCTACAAAATAAACATTACAATCACTCAAGGGTTGTATTTATAACTTGTAGCCATCGATCATTGTTGCCCAAGTCCATTTATTATGTTGGTATGCTAAAGAAAATTTGATTCTTTGTATCTTCCTATGTCCATTATGTAGGCATATCTAAACACATCCAAAGAAAAGCAAATTTATTTTTCAGGGGGAAGGGGTAATTGTTTTCCAGGGGTAAATTTCCAGGGGTTGATTGTCCTGATACGGCTACTCACAAAAGTAGAGGACCTCTTTGAAACTATTTTCTGAGGTAATAGGAGCACAGAAAATCTGTTTCCATATCAAAATACAACGGTACATTATAGGTATGAGGTTGTGATGACCAAATATGTATCAGGTATCCAAAATTTGATTTAAAGGCCCAAATTTAACATAACATTTTAAGAGCATCAGACTATAGTGAGATGATTTTATTTCTAAAGACATTTAGAAGTGTGCTATACTAAAAATAATTGTCATGCCGACCAATATGAAATCATAGTAGGGGGCACCTAAATGCCCCCCCCCCCCCCCTAAGCGCCCTGAGGTTATTCGCAACAGCTCAATAGGAAATGCATCTTCTATCGGAAATAGGAAATGCATTTATGTGAAAAATCATGTATTTTACCTACTCATTAATTAAACAATATGCTGTATGATGTGATGAACCCATCGAGGAAAGTCATGGAAAATAAATTGTACACGGCAGGGTATGTAAATGGAACCAGATAACACCAACTATTTTTATTTCAACTTTCTATGTTTGGTTCATAGAAGAAAGGCTTCATTGATTATACAACTTTTCAAGTTGGAGAAGCATCTGAAAATATCCATACCCATGTAGTGCGAATTGAATTAAATTTGTAAATTTTGGAGATGTCTGAACTTCTGAACATTATATTTGTGAGGCAATTAAATTTATGTTACACTATTAAAACCTACATTTTTCATGTGTATCTTTCTGAGATTATGACAAGCAAACTTTTGACCTCTACCAGTGGACATTGAAATGCTTAAATTGTCACTCGTACTTGGAAAGAAGCTACATTTTAATGTAAATATGCTTTAATTTATTTTTTAGTCGATCAAGCAGAAAGGAGGAAATAGGTCTGGTGATTCAACTACAAAACGGGCTGACCCATCCAAGGTTTGTGTGCTTGAAACTTTCAATTCCATTTCTTACTTTGGGTCCAAGTTTATACTCAACATGACCTTTTACTTTATAAACAGACACGATTTTTCATTGCCATGATTATCGTTTAAAAAATGCCTTCACTTAAAAAGCTGTGAAAGCTACAGTAAATAATAAGAAGGAATAAAGCTTGTGTAGTCTGCCTGGTCAGAAATATCAGTCTTTCCCATGGAAAACATTGATCTCTTTTGGTACTTAAAAACCAGGCACAATATTTAGATATATGATCATATAGTGGTTACTTGTCTTTCCAAATGTTTATTTTTCCGAAGGTTTATATATTTCAAAACAGATTTCCCATACCTTTAAATTCCCCTTAGGGAAACAACTCCAAAACAACCCTCTTTTTGGTCACAATGTCCTGTTGGGATCACATGCTTTATAAATGCTCTTAAATTCTTCCTCAACTCTTTTCAGATAAGCAAGACAGCCGACCAAGAGTCGTCTGGATCCGCAACTATAGAATTTGGGGTTTGTATGCACAAATTAATGGTAGCCATCTATCATAATAATAATAATAATAATTGCAGTGCTTATATAGCGCCTAACACTTACTTTGTCAGAAGTCTCTAAGCGCTCTACAATAATGCAGCATAATTTTTCATTGCTGCCTAATTCATGTATTTGGTTGTTAAGCTTGTGTAATCTACCTTGTTAAAAAAAATCAGTCTTTCCCGTAGAAAACAATGATCTCTTTTGGTACCTAGATACCCGGCACAATGTTTAGATATATGATCGTATAGGGGTTACTTCCAAAGATATATTCTTCTAAGGTTTCATATTTCCAAAACACTAATTCCCCATACTTTCAATATCCCCTTTGTGGGGGGGGGGGGGGATTTAGGGACAAAACATTATATTTTGATCCCATGCTTTAAAAATACCTTTAAATCCTTCCTGAACTTTTTTCATATGATAATACAGATCTACAAAATAAACATTACAATCACTCAAGGGTTGTATTTATAACTTGTAGCCATCGATCATTGTTGCCCAAGTCCATTTATTATGTTGGTATGCTAAAGAAAATTTGATTCTTTGTATCTTCCTATGTCCATTATGTAGGCATATCTAAACACATCCAAAGAAAAGCAAATTTATTTTTCAGGGGGAAGGGGTAATTGTTTTCCAGGGGTAAATTTCCAGGGGTTGATTGTCCTGATACGGCTACTCACAAAAGTAGAGGACTTCTTTGAAACTAATTTCTGAGGTAATCGGAGCACAGAAAATCTGTTTCCATATCAAAATACAACGGTACATTATAGGTATGAGGTTGTGATGACCAAATATGTATCAGGTATCCAAAATTTGATTTAAAGGCCCAAATTTAACATAACATTTTAAGAGCATCAGACTATAGTGAGATGATTTTATTTCTAAAGACATTTAGAAGTGTGCTATACTAAAAATAATTGTCATGCCGACCAATATGAAATCATAGTAGGGGCACCTGAATGCCCCCCCCCCCCCCAGGCGCCCTGAGGTTATTTGCAACAGCTCAATAGGAAATGCATCTTCTATCGGAAATAGGAAATGCATTTATGTGAAAAATCATGTATTTTACCTACTCATTAATTAAACAATATGCTGTATGATGTGATGAACCCATCGAGGAAAGTCATGGATAATAAATTGTACACGTCAGGGTATGTAAATGGAACCAGATAACACCAACTATTTTTATTTTCAACTTTCTATGTTTGGTTCATAGAAGAAAGGCTTTATTGATTATACAACTTTTCAAGTTGGAGAAGCATCTGAAAATATCCATACCCGTGTAGTGCGAATTGAATTAAATTTGTAGATTTTGGAGATGTCTGAACTTCTGAACATTATATTTGTGAGGCAATGAAATTTATGTTACACTATTAAAACCTACATTTTCCATGTGTATCTTTCTGAGATTATGACAAGCAAACTTTTGACCTCTGCCAGTGGACATTGAAATGCTTAAATTGTCACTCGTACTTGGAAAGAAGCTACATTTTAATGTAAATATGCTTTAATTTATTTTTTAGTCGATCAAGCAGAAAGGAGGAAATAGGTCTGGTGATTCAACTACAAACCTGGCTGACCCATCCAAGGTTTGTGTGCTTGAAACTTTCAATTCCATTTCTTACTTTGGGTCCAAGTTTATACTCAACATGACCTTTTACTTTATAAACAGACACGATTTTTCATTGCCATGATTATGGTTTTATAAAATGCCTTCACTTAAAAAGCTGTGAAAGCTACAGTAAATAATAAGAAGGAATAAAGCTTGTGTAGTCTGCCTGGTCAGAAATACCAGTCTTTCCCATGGAAAACATTGATCTCTTTTGGTCCTTAGAAACCAGGCACAATATTTAGATGTATGATCATATAGTGGTTACTTGTCTTTCCAAATGTTTATTTTTCCGAAGGTTTATATATTTCAAAACAGATTTCCCATACCTTTAAATTCCCCTTAGGGAAACAACTCCAAAACAACCCTCTTTTTGGTCACAATGTCCTGTTGGGATCACATGCTTTATAAATGCTCTTAAATTCTTCCTTAACTCTTTTCAGATAAGCAAGACAGCCGACCAAGAGTCGTCTGGATCCGCAACTATAGAATTCGGGGTTTGTATGCACAAATTAATTGTAGCCATCTATCGTTGCTGCCTAATCCATGTATTTGGTTGTTAAGCTTGTGTAATCTACTTTGTCAAAAAAAAATCAGTCTTCCCCGTAGAAAACAATGATCTCTTTTGGTACCTAGATACCCGGCACAATGTTTAGATATATGATCGTATAGGGGTTACTTCCAAAGATATATTCTTCTAAGGTTTCATATTTCCAAAACACTAATTCCCCATACCTTCAATATCCCCTTTGTGGGGGGAGATTTAGGGTCAAAACATTATATTTTGATCCCATGCTTTATAAATACCTTTAAATCCTTCCTGAACTTTTTTCATATGATGATACAGATCTACAAAATAAACATTACAATCACTCAAGGGTTGTATTTATAACTTGTAGCCATCGATCATTGTTGCCCAAGTCCATTTATTATGTTGGTATGCTAAAGAAAATTTGATTCTTTGTATCTTCCTATGTCCATTATGTAGGCATATCTAAACACATCCAAAGAAAAGCAAATTTATTTGTCAGGGGGAAGGGGTAATTGTTTTCCAGGGGTAAATTTCCAGGGGTTGATTGTCCTGATACGGCTACTCACAAAAGTAGAGGACCTCTTTGAAACTATTTTCTGAGGTAATCGGAGCACAGAAAATCTGTTTCCATATCAAAATACAACGGTACATTATAGGTATGAGGTTGTGATGACCAAATATGTATCAGGTATCCAAAATTTGATTTAAAGGCCCAAATTTAACATAACATTTTAAGAGCATCAGACTATAGTGAGATGATTTTATTTCTAAAGACATGTAGAAGTGTGCTTTACTAAAAATAATTGTCATGCCGACCAATATGAAATCATAGTAGGGGCACCTGAATGCCCCCCCCCCCCAGGCGCCCTGAGGTTGTTCGCAACAGCTCAATAGGAAATGCATCTTCTATCGGAAATAGGAAATGCATTTATGTGAAAAATCATGTATTTTACCTACTCATTAATTAAACAATATGCTGTATGATGTGATGAACCCATCGAGGAAAGTCATGGATAATAAATTGTACACGGCAGGCATCTACGCCTAATACATTAAAATGATTGAGGTCCTTTTCCTCCATTTTGCTTTTCTTTTGGTTGAAGAACCCTGTTCTAGCCCATCTGCCTTGGAATTATCCAAGAGAAAGTTGACAAAATAATGCTGTTTATAATGTAAATTCACATTAATTAGGCTCTTTGTAGAGTAAGAAATATCTTATGAGAACTTTTCATGTTTTCCTATTACATTTCATAGTTAACAGGAGTTCTACGGCACACTCGAAGACTGGTTTTACAAGATGTGCGTAGCTCATCATCTTTCAGGCTGAGGCGAGGAGGTACGTAAACAAATATCAGATAAGATTCAATATCATTACGCGAAAATCATGGTGTTGAAACCCTTTAAAAAGCATTACAGTCATGTAACATGTATTGCATTGTTATGGCTTTAAAATCATCTAATAATTTTTTTTATTTCAAGCTAACGAAATGAATAAAAACTTCTTTATTAAACAGGCATACTGTATGACCATGTAGGTCTTTTCCCCTTTTCTCCCAATTTGGTTTACAACATGTTCTAAAAAAAAGAAATACAAATGACAGGAATTTCTTCTGAGAACACGCACAAAATAGTATATTTTGCCTGAAAATATATTATATGCCTTTTCAAGCATTTTATAAAGAATTTATCCACTTTCATCTCCCGTCAGACACTGAATAAAGGAGTACATGTGAGTTAAATATTGAATTAGTTCATGTAAAGGCGGCTAACTTGAGGATGAACGTGTTCTCAAAAATACAGGTAGGCAGTATCTAGGACATTTGGAATAAAAATATGCCAGCCTGTGTGTACGAATGTTCAATATGAAGACATACACCTGTCCATGTTTGCATGATCATCATCATAGTAGAGGAGTTTAGTGGATATGGTTCGCATGGTTTAGGGATCAAGTCCAGTCGCAGCACTAAAATGCTTTGGAAATACATGAATCTAAAATTTGCCACTCTTCACTTGTGGTAAATGGAAACCCTATACTGGAAGTTATTCTTTGCACCGGTGCTTTAGGGCAGCTTGGCTGAAGCCAGGGTACTTTATAATAGGACTTTCTAGGCACCTTGAGCATCCGTTGGCATATACATATGGTTATTGATATTTGTATGATAATGATTTGTATTATTATTACCGTTATTATTATCATTATTATTATTATATATTGTTATAGTTAAATTTATTAAACTGTACAACATAAAGCTATCATGATGCCATCAAGTCACGAAGTTACTTAATTCCTATTGTTCCTTTAATATGTGGTGTCTACATCATGCAAAGTACATGTAGTGTCAATCTACAACATTCAGTAATTCAGTAAAATATGGATATATTTTTATAAAGTCTTTTAATTTACAACATGTGTTTGATGGAGCCATAACTGAGATCAGGATAAAAAGAGAAAGAAAATATTTTGAGGGGTCTTTTAACTCTTACAGTACTGATCTAGACACCCCCATTTTAGATTAAATTTATCATAGTGCTTGTTGAAATAGTCTTTACAAAATATCATTTTGGTAAACATCTTATGTGGAATGAACGGCATTTATTAACTAGAAAGATATGCTAGATAGATTATATGATTGTGTTATTTTTTTGTCTTCATATCAATTACCTCAGGCTCACCGCAATATTTTAAACATTTATTAAAGAATGCTGTATAGTGTACTTTCCTGAGATTTGGGAGGCCACAAAAATGGGTTGTTTTTATTGTCTTTTTTTTATTCAGGCAAGAAATCTGGGCGGAACACTGTTATTAGGGGTGATGCTGGACTGGAGCTACATGTAATCAAGTGGATGAGCATCGATGATGAGACTCATCTTGTACTAAGGGATGCCTATTTCCTCGGAGATGACATATCCATACTGGCTCCATTGTGTCCGACAGTAAAGCATTTCTCCATTGATTTCCACACGATACGTCTACTTCCATTTACCCTCATGTCTACGCATATGCGTGTGCCTATGAGATCTGTCATCACAGTTTGCATTAAGTCCCTGTATTGTCTTGGAAATCTCCAGGAGACACTATCGGAGGTCGGTAATTTGTTTCCAGATGCACAGATTCTAGATATGCAAATAGGGATTCTAAATTCTCCATCCGATCAAGCATACTCTCATGAGGTCTATTCATCATCATCCTTAAGGGAGCTTAAATTAAGATTTGAGGGGAGGTATGATATCACTACAGACAACCTGTTAATGGATATTTCTACCTCCTGTCCAAATATCGTATCACTGGTGTTATCAGGCTTTGGAAGATGTCCATCGAACAAGTCAGGCAAAGAAATTACATCATGCAAGATGCTACATCTGACCAAAATCCATCTTGAATCATTTGGAACGGATAATCGCCACAGATTTGAAACATTAACGAGTATATTTTATGTATTTCATGTGATAAGTCCACGTTTGAGGTTTGTTGAGGCAAAGAAGGTGCAGCTAGGAGGTGCAGAGTTTGCCTCTGCTAAGTGGTCCCGAACATCTTCAGGTTATGAGCTACAACTTGAAGATGCATCATCAGCTGTACCAATGGCTGACCTAATGCATCTTGTGTCAAATGAACTCGAAGAAGTAACTGTCCTGACATTTGACAGGTGTAATGTTGACATTCCTCAGAGTATCAGTCATCCACCGCATAGCACAAGGGAAGAGAGTTCGCTTCAAGAACTCAAGTTCTTAAATGTGGAATGCCCGTTGTCTCAAACTGACATCAACAAACTTTCAGAGATGTATCCATATGTACAGATCACAGTTAAACATGAAAGTCAGGCATCACATGAAGACTCTAAGCAGGGTACGTCGATGCCTTTCAAGCTAAAGTGGAAGACCTCCCCATCCTCCCCAACTTCTTCAATGGGTGAGTTTATTTAGATTATACATATATGTATTATGTATGTTTGTACTCACAGAGCCTAATACATAAAGGCTTGTTCACATATACAGGGGTATACAGCAGTAGTTTACCACATGTTTTCCTTTTTATCTGCGCTGTACAGTTTTGTGCCTGAAAGTACCCATTCAAAGAAAATCACAAATATGGCAAATAACGTTTCACTAGAAAGTGGTAAGCTGACAGATGGCCATCGTACAAGTTTTAGGTTGATTGCACAGTGGGTGATTTATAAAAATACAAAGCATCTGGGATAAACAAGAGATTCACCAGAAAGATATTGATGTTTTAATGACGTCACGATATGAACCAATCTTGTCCAAACAGACGACATCACAAAAAGAATGAGCATAATTTCAATACTATTATTTCTCAAATTATACTTTTCATATGGTATGATAATTATGCTATCATACACAATGATAATCATCTAATGATTATTATACCTTATGGATAGTAGACAAAATGGTCATTAGACAAACTGGGAATTATACCGACTGGACATTAGACTAAATGAGCAATAGACCAAATGGGTTGTAGACTTATTTGATATTAGACCGATTGGCTATTAGCCTTAAAGGTACTACATGTATGTCCCATTTGCAGGCCAAAAAAATGCAAAGGTTAAATTCCAACAGCCTTTGAAAGATAATACTAATTTAGAACTTCCCCCCAAAAAAGGGGGTTTGAAAATGTCTTTAAGTGGTAAAATAACAACTATTAGTTGTCGAATCGACTTAGGAGCTATAGAGCCAGTAATTAATAGTCTGATTTTTCAGACCATTGTAACGAATGGTCGTTTGTTTTATGTTGCGCATGCATAGATTCGATCAGTTAAATGTTGGTCATTGCAAGAAGTGGGTTATTGATGTAGAAAAATGCTCATGTACCTTCTACAGCTCATTTTATGTATGTTATTACCAATGAAGAGAAAAGGCCAGTCAGTCACTCAATAGTGTCTGACAGTGAAGTCTAGCAAGTAAATGGATTTCGTTGCATAATTTGAATATTAGGACACTGCTAACGTTTAAATTTCACAAAAAGGACATACATGACATATTCATGATTCCTGCAAAGTTCTACAGAATTTGATGTTGGCTGCAAAAGGGAGACAGTATCTTTAAAGGCAAAGATCAGTTTTGAAAACGCCTCCCTCTCAAAAAATGAAATGGTAGCTCTTATTACCAATCAAGTGAAAGAATATGTTTTGACTAATACGTGATGATACAAAGTTTTCTGAGAAACCGTCTACTGATATATTTGGTAAATTGTTATATCTATTTGGACCTGATAGATATCGTGCACGTGTTGAGTAGTCTCATATACATCTTTCTGTTTACAGTGCGTAACTTTACTAGGATTGGGCCAAATTTCTTATCATTTTGATAATTCCAGAACCTTGCAGTACACACATATACTTTAATGCTAGATGATCAACCTTTTCTGATCTATTACACAACGTATCTTTCGCAGTGCAATCGCATGACTATAACTGGTCTTTAACTTTAATGGTCATTAGACCAAATGATGAGTAGACAAAAAATTGATTATTAGAGCATGTGGATTGTAGACGGGCTACTAGGTGTAGACCATATGGGAATATACTTATTGGGTGGTAGACGAATTGGTTGTAATGCGAAAAGCAATACAATTTGGAGTGGACTTTATTATTATCATTATAGTCGCAGATAAGTCTTTATGGGAATGTCAATCACTCTATCCCAGAGACTTTCCTGATTCAGCCAATTTGAAGAGCCTACCGGTATCTATGAGGATTTCACGTTTTACAAAATTACAATTATATCACCAGATGAAGTCAATGTGGTACCAATCAAGATGGAATGTTGTAAGAGAGTTGGAGTTAAAGGTGGCAAACTTCAGCTAGATTCCTTCGGAATTGAACTTGAGATCCCTCCTGGTGCAATTGACAGCGAAGCGCCACAGGACATTTCTCTTCGTGTCCTGACAGATACTCAAAATCTTGGCAACAACAAAGAAGAGATGTCAGTCTGCTTTGGTGTACAGTGTTTAGCCCCTGATGACTTAGTCCTTAAGTTACCGGTGACTTACACAATACCCCACTGTGCTGTGATTACACGATACTCCAGTGTGAAGGCAGTCTTGTACACGGGAGAGGGAGAATACTCACCCGGTAAGTACATCTCAACATGTATAGAAATCATGTAGCAATGGCATTTGATGAATGTCATTAATGTCAAAACCTTTTAGTAATTAAATGAAACACTTTGTGATAGATAAATAAACAAATGTAACTCCCATTTTCCATTTAAAGTACTAGGTGTATTATAAGAACGTTTTACACTTTTGATCGTGAGTGACACAAAAAGTCATTGACGTCTTCACATTGTAAAGTTGAAGGATGTTATATCTAACTGGAGATAGTTAAGACATTTCTTTGAATATTGGTTTTAAAATGTTGCCCACAATGATTACATTACATTTCACTTTTTGTAAAATGAAGTCCACAAAAATTATGTGTGTATCAACAATCACTTCAGAACAAAGCAATTGCCATCGTGCACGGCAGTTGAAATTTCAGAGCACCTTTTGAAACCCAGATTCTGAGGATCACGAAGCAATAATGACACTGGGTAGCACAAAATTGATTGGCCCAAACTTGATGTGAAAATCTTAAGACGTCTTTCTCTTGAAGTGCATCCAAATGAAATCCGTTGCGATAGTAGGCGTCCCAACAATATTCACGATACTCCAGTGTGTAGGCAGTTTTGTACACTATGGTCTATTATAAGAACGTTTTACACTTGTGTAACCCCCCCCCCCCCCCCCCACATCCTCTCCCCTCTCTTCAAGACCCGCCAGGTCATGTGCATGGGTAGTGCTGCTTCCCTTCATTTTCTTGTCGCCATCATCGTCTGTTTCTTTCTCCTTGGCGAACAACAATATATCGTTAAAAAATTAAAGGGGGAATGAAGCTTGTAATCCCTCCGCTGTTTTTTCCTGCCCCGTGTACCTTTCCCTCATCAATAGCTATTCCGATTTTGCACTTCATCAACCAATATGACAGGTGCCTCCCCCCCCCCCTCCCCCCCCCCCCCACCCCGGTAGCATATGCCCCTCGACGTATGGATCCACTCTATTCTACTGATAAACTATGTAAATGTAACCTACATTGAATGTATATAGTGACAATTTGGAAATAATGCACACAAAAAAATTGTCATTGAACTTGGGTTGTATTCTGATACTATGTTAGCTATTGTAATCGGTATTCTGAAAATGATTTTAAGTCCAATACAGTGTTTACATATATTTTGGCGGGAAGATGCAGTGCGCATACTCTTTAACTTATGCAAACTTCATACCTGGCGGCGGACTAAACGTGGTAGGTTACGCTACGGTCAAAAAGGTTCGTACGAATCTCCCTGTTTTTCCATTGTCTTCCCGAGTTTCCATTGTCTGAAAATCGTTCGTACGGCGTTCGTAGCAGTTCGTAATGGCTTTTGTGACCGAGGCTTATAGTTCTGGCATTCTGAAAACTCTTTTAGCAAAAAACATAATACATAAGATAATGTAGAAAATAACATTGGTCTAGGGGTATTACGTGAAATGCAGTTGAGGTTTTCTTTCTTGCCTTTTTCCTTTGTAGTTTCTTTGAAAACTGCAATATGACTCTGCAAATCTACAAATTTTTAACAAAAACAAACATAGGAAACGTAGAAAAGGAAGGAATAAAGTAGCTGTTCATGAGTACCTTCGTGACAATGACCAGGACAAAGGTAGGGCGTATCAATTGACGATGCTCGATAAATATGCGCTATAGTTCCCGTAGATGTAAAGGCACAATTTAACATGAAACACAATATGCTGAGTACTTTTTGAGAGACATTATCATTAGAGAATTTATTTAAATTGAAGTGTCAGTGTAGATAATTTACCCTTAACATAGTTTTCAGATTACCAATTCAGAGGTATGGTATGTAAATTTCTGGGACTAAATATAAGTTTTCAGAGTACTGTCCCTGACCGATTTATGTATTTAGACAGGTTATAAAGATGACCTATTTCTTGAGAGATTGGTCTGAAGGGTCAGGTGCCGAAATGTTGGCCTAAAAAATGTCTAAGGTTAACTTTGCTAATATGAATGAACCCCATAATGAATCTAGGCAGAGGTCTTTGCCTTTGCTTGTTATTAAATTACTTTAAGAACTATGTTTATCCCTCGATTTAATGTGTCCACAGTTTTCCTGATTTTTATCGCCAAATTGTTGATTATAGATGCAGTTGTTAAAGAACGAATTGTGTTGTCGAGGTATGGAACACCTAGCTGCACCATCAACAAAGATGTACTCAAACTGAAGATGAACCACTTTTCATGGGCGAAGATTAAGTTGATGATCAAGAATTTCTTCTTCAAAGGAAAGAAGATGCGCTGTCGGCCATTTAAAGAAAAGAACCTACCCCTACAGAAGACACCTGTCATCTTACGTGCACACCTCTATGATGCCATAAAAGGGAATTGCGAGGTAAATTTTTGTTGCAGCAGTTAAGGAATCTGTATCGTGGCAAAGATCCACAGTTTTTTGGTTCATACTTTTCAGGAAAAAAAAAATCATTTATTGGAAGAATCACCATTAAATCTACAGCTAAAGTACTATGTTTTAAAATGTTCACAATACATTGCATTTGGTGTACAATATAGAGGCTCTACAAAAGAATAAGACAAACAACACCACCGACAAAGTATTTTTTAGCCAAAATTCTACCAATCTGAGGTGTCGTTCATCTTTGAGAAAGATTTCAGTTACAAGTATGTTGTTTGATTTAAACTTTATTCTATAAAAACTGGTATATAAACAAGTTTTGTTGCTGGGACATTAGTTGTTCTTTTACCTTGTATATGTATACGGCCTGTACAATTTCTTTTATTTTCTTTGGTAACAGCTGATAAAAAGACAAGAAGAGGAACAAGAATTCGTACCTGCCCATCCAGAACAAGAGATCGTTATTCAGGCAGCAGAAAGTGATCTCAAAATGACCTGTTATGTAAAGGAGACAGCAATTGGAAGACCTGCTGTAAGTTTATTAATTTGTTCAAAAATTTGTTCTGGTTATAACTCTGATACTGAATTAGTTGGGGATGTTACGGAAAGATAATGACAGTTTGGTGCAAATGGTTCTAATATCACTAAATTTGGCCCAGATGTCGACCGTACCATACCAATTTGATTTTTGACGGACACCTTTGGATTCGACCAAAAATAATAAGATTTCTATAATTTAAGGGAATCCATTTCTGATGTCGGTCCATCAGTTTGATATCAGGAAGGCTGAAGGAACCCCCACTCCCAAAATCAAATATGGTCGCCATGTGAACTTCAAATCAATTTAGATTTCAACACAAGAAGGACTAGACTAGAATGATAAGAGTTTCTTTAGCTTTGGGCTTCTCAGAAAGAGAATTGTGTTTCTGATGTTATTTCATTGATTTGGTGTCAAGAAATGCGCCCCCTGGGACCATCATTGTGGTAAAATCCTACCAGTATATAGCCATCATATGATCTCAAAGTCTTATTGTAATTTTCAAAACGAAGGGCTAGAATAATGAAATATTTTTTCCCGGTAAAAATGGGGTTGATGGGTACAGATAATCTAATAGTGATGTAAAATTGTCTATTTTATGTCAACAATTTTTCCCTAGTGCCTAGGTTCACTGTAAGTGACAAAACTTAACAAAGATCCTCTGTGTGACCATGCCTTGAACCATAATGCATGGTCTTACATAGACATTTTTCTTGTCAGAGACGGGGGGGGGGGGGGGGGGGGGAATGCAATGAATTATTGATAATTTGTTGCATTTTCTTTTAGGGGCGCCCCTGTACCCTAGCCCCCGCTGCGTACAGTCATGATTCAGTGGCTAAGCAATGACCTCGTTACTGTGAGGCCCCAGGATCAAAACCGTATCGATCAGCTATATTAGTGCTCTTTTGTGAGGCATTAATCCTCATTACTGTCAGTTTTGACTTAAGGACGTAGGTCCCCTAGTTGATTAGCATATTAGCACACACATGCTAATTAGCAGTCACACAAAACAAACACTCGCAAATTTTTATCCAAAAAAATCTGAGAATGTATACTATTACTTAGATCTATTAGGAATAAATCATTGTCAAAATCATTCCGTAAGTTGGGGGTAAAAATAATTATTCCACCATCATGACCAACAGTGTATTTATTATATTTATTCTACAGGTGAACGAAACAAATGTCCATGTTGTGGGTATGCATTTGAGAATAAAATTTATTGAATTAAGTATTCTCTGACTGCTGCAATCTTATGAGAATACCACAACTATTATAGGTTTGTTGGTGCCTGGTCAAATGCTGTGGGTTGAACTAGTACGTCTGCATCATATTTGAACTGTTAAGCAGGCAGGGAGCCGTAGCAACAGACCCGGTCATTATTTAGCTTCTGGTCATTGGTGCCTCCACCTCCTTTAGGCTCCGGGTAACTGGTTCCCAAAGTAATTTCCAGGATGGCTTTCACAAGTGATGCTGTTAGCATTATATTCTCTGACCTCAAAATCAATGACAACACATTATTACACTATTCTGCCCTTTCGTTTTGAACTTAATTACTACCTTACCAGGATGGTGGCCATATTGAATTTAAACAATATGCATGTGGCTTCTAAAGGAGCTAAGATTGGGGAGTTGAGTTGGGGAGAAAATTAAGCAAACGTTTTGCCTTTAAAAAAAATCCTAACCTGATGATCCCCCAGAGGTGCTAGAAATGCCCCTTAGGTAGCCTCACAGGACATCCCTGAAACAATAGTCTGGTCAATAAATGACCTTAGTTACCTAACGGTGATTAAGTATATTTAGTGTCTTGATTAAGGATAGCATCATAATCAGATTTCTTTTTGTCACTATTAAAGATGAAGTTGAGTTCTGGTCACGCGATTGCATTGTGAAAGTATCGGTGTGGAATCGACCAGAAAAGGTTGCTCATCTAGCATATAAGAATTTGTGTGTATTGCAAGGTTCTGGAATCATCAAAATGATAAGAAATTTGGCCAAGTCTTTGTAAGTTAAAAACAATGTACACAGAAAGATGTATATGGGACTACATGAACACGTGGCGTAAAAATCCTACCCCCGAGTTTTACGATGTTACATGACATATTTCGAATATGAAGGCATTTGAAGAGCCATGCTTTTCAGGGAACATGTCTTATATGATGTTCTTCCACACTTGCATATTAAGAATGATAATGCTCACAAATTATTTTTCACCTCTTCCCAGAACTCAACCTTCTCTTTAAAGGCACAAGATTTCATTAGCATACCCCTCAGTCAGCGCTCAAAATACACGGGGGCGGTGGGCGATTCGCCCCCGTGAGCTACATAATCGCCCCCGTCAGGTTGCTCACGGGGGCGATTGCAAAATTAAAAATCGACCCGTGGAATTATAAAATAAAGATTATCTTTTCTGTTATAACTTTAACACAATATTGAGTTTCAATTTTCAAATGAAATGGAACTTAGATTAGCGTGCAAGATTTCTTGTTTTATGAGTAGGCCTATTATTACCAATTCAGCTCACAGTGCAGTGCCGCCGTCAGCAGTGGTTATAGGCCTACTGCGCCCTTAGTAGCGGTACGTGTGCACGCTGCCGCGCTATGTCTGCTGGAGCTGGAGGCGATCGCGCAAGGGCAGAAACATGGTCATGGAGAAGTTTTTCGTTGTGAAAGCGTTAACCCGCTGAAATCTGGTGATTTCAAATGACTAGCAAATAATGAACCTCGACCAGTAAATCAATATTAGGGACTTTTAGATTTGCACGATGGGAACGTGGACTGAAACGTGTGACCTCCTTTTAAGGCAGTGCCAGTGCTTAAAAGGACGTCACATGTGACTGCCAGTGCCTTAAAAGGACGTAACACGTCCACGTCCACGCAAATCTAAAAGACCCTATTGAGAAGAAGAGGAAGACCAAGATGTCGTGGAATGATATGGTAACATGGGCAGATCTACGGGGGGGGGGGGGGGGGGGCTAGGGGTTTAACCCCCTCCTCCCACCCCCGACCCCATTGGGCTGCCAAGTGAAAATGTGATATTAAAGCGGGGGGGGGGGGGGGGGGGGGGGATGCTGGAGATGAGGACTACTAATCTATTTTATTTTTTTCTTGGGGGGGGGGGGGGAAGTGAAGCGCCGTTTTAGCATGACTTTCTTTTTAACTCATACTTTCACCTATCTCAGATAACCCTAAGTTTTTGGTTGCTGCTTTATATGTAGTTGATAATGCATGATTAAAGTAAAGAGAGAGAGAGAGAACCACCATCATTTTGCAATGGTTCAGGGTTCGTGTAATGTACATTTGAAACCATTTCTTAGCGTCTCAACCCTAACAAAATGGCAAACTTATTTTTGAGGAAAAGCATTATACTGAATTAAATAAAGAATAATAGCTTTATATTGGATCATACTAATACTGATACGGGCTAAAGACAATGTGGTATTTGTATAGAGGTATTCCAAAATGACATTCTGATAATCAACATTTGTTCTGGTATCATAATGTATATACGCATAATACAACTGATCTTTATGATTTCTTAACGTGACATAGCTTCTTTTCCCCCTGCAAACAAAAAAGAAAACAAGGTTATTTAATAAAAGGATCATGCGACAAATAATAATTGTGATTCAAATTGATGCAAGGATTTTTTTGAATAAGCAATGCTTTTCACCAGAATCTTCTTTGTAAAAACGACTTTTACAAATCTCAGCCATGCAAATCTGCCACTTTGTTGTAAGATCACTTTCAGATTAGGAGAAGTGTATTCTTGATTGATTTGATTTGATTTGATTTGATTTATTTATTTCTGTTTGATTTTCTTTTTCTTTTGCATTTTTACAAATATATAACAAACAAATATTGCCAATTTACACATGACAAAAGAATATATGTAGAATAAGGTAAGGCTGGGTGTGACTAATCGAGAACATCAAACAGGAGGGTTGACAAAATAAGCAAAGCTTGATAGTATGACTACCCTCAAAGGATACATAATAATACAAATATGGAGGAACAAAATATTGGTAAAAAGGGGGAAAAGACAGAAAAAAAAGAAGAGAAAAGAAAGAGGGGATGCACATCGATATTCACACACTTATGTGGTAGTTGGATTTCAAATTTAATTATATAAAGATTTTAAATAAGAAAAGAAATTCAAAATTTGAATACTGAGTGGCCAACTTGGGATACAATAGAATGAGAAGACTCGCGAGGTTCGGACAGTAAGAATGTGAAAGTAAGATCAGCCAGCTGGTTTTAAACCTGGGCCTGCGAGTCGGAGCCTTGAAATGTTTGTAGAGAAGACAGTGTTTATTCAGTATCCCAAGTAGGCCACTCTTTATTCATACGTGTATTCATACCAGGTCATGGAAGGTTATAATCAACGTTTCAATGAATGGAAGCAAAAAAAGTAAACAGTACAGAAAATTATCGAGTTATGTAACGATGGGTAAACGAGGAGAATTTATTTTGTTGATGGATTTAAAGATAATGAGCAATAAGAAACTTTTTCACCGCTCTTTTAAAGGATAGCATTGTATTCATCGTTTTTATTTCAGGGGGTAGTGCATTCCAGGTATCAGGGCCAGAATGTCTAATTGAGTTTTGAGCTAAGGCTGTTTTGGCGTTAAATAGGTGATAGTCATTGGAATGCCTGGTTGGGTAGGAATGAAAATTAAAATTATGTTGGAATAAAATGACTAGTGATGGGGGAATATTGCCGGATTTGAGCCGAAACATGAACACAGATTTTTGCATGTAGTGTATATCACTTATTTTTAGAGTTTTTAATGTGGCAAATAAAGGGTCAGTGTGGTCGCGATAACCTGCATCGGTACAAACTCGAATTGCTTTTTTCTGTAACAGTAATATACGATTAGTATTGCACTTATGAGTAGCCCATATGATATTGCAGTAAGAAATATATGGTAAAACCAGTGTATTATATAGAGTAATAATGAGTATTTTACATTGAATGGAACGTCTCAACTCAGTAAGCATGGCTGAGATTTGTAAAAGTTGTTTTTACAAAGAAGATTTGGGTGAATAACAGTGCTTATTCTAACAAATATTCGCATCAATTTGAATCACAATCATTATTTGTCGCCTAATCCCTTTTAATGACCTTGTTTTCTTTCTCGTTTGCGAGGGGAGAAGAAGATATGTCACGTTAAAGACATCATAAAGATCAGTGTTGTATGCGTATATATTATATACACAGGCCAGTAACAGCTATGTAGCTTGTAAATTTGTAAGAGGGAAAATGCTGATTGAAATGATAATGATGAAATAGCAAACAATTGAGGAGTATCATAGGTACCAATTCAATGGATAATTGTATAAAAAAGAGCCCCCGTCAGTACTAAAAGAGCCCCCGTGAGAAGGCTCACGGGGCTCTCTTTGGGGGGAAGAGCCCCCGTGGACAAAAAATTAATTTGAGCCCTGCCCTCAGTTATTCGGAAGTACCCTAAGCTCAGATGGTATATTGAATGTTGAACATATGGCGGCACGAGGAGGCCATCAAAGACATGCAATTAAATCTGATTAAATTCAGATTTTCTATGTATCTGTAAGACAATAATGATAAAAAGCTTCATTATGCAAGCCATGTCTGTTTTTAATATAATAGACTTCAAGGGTCAAGTGTCAGCAATTTTTGATTTTACTAAAATTTGAGTTGAAATTTGTTGATTTGTAACATAATCAAAATCCGAATGGTTGCTGGAGCTAAATTCACATCAATAATGTCTTATACATGTACACACTTCTAAAGCAGATGATTGATATACGAAAAATTAAAAAGGGAAGTTTTTTCTACCTTCTCTTTTGATGACCTCCGTTCAATCATTGTTTTAAAGGTTGTCCCCTTTGATAAACTAATGAGTGGAGCCAGGATCTGTAAGCCCTTTGAATTGGACTTCACCAACCAGCCAGACATTGTTGCAGTGTCACTGAGAGTAGGACAAAATGAGAAACTAGAGGATGATCTCTTATTTCCTTTGGATTTCTCAATTCCTCACAGAAGAAAGAGAACTTTTCCACAAGATCCAGGTATTTTGGTTTAAAGAGAAGGTTGATTTCTGGTAAAGGTGTTAAAATCAATATGTGAGATTTATTATTTGTTTTTATTGGTTGGAAGAAATTCCGAATAGAAAAGTCCCCTGAAAAAGGATTGCTCTTGAAATGTTCTCATATTCAAAATATGACTAAAAAAACTGACTTGTTTGGACCAAACAGGCATTCCATGTGTCTGTGTAGTCCCTTTCACCCATTTCCTTGTGCAGCGCCTGTACTTTAAATCAAGTTGGATCCAGCAAATCAAAAGCTGATGATTTGAAACTTCACAGTATCCGCTTTAAATGCGGCCCTCATAGTCAAAATATGACAAGAAAAAGCTGGCTTGTTTGGACCGAACAGTCACTCCATGTGTCTGTGTATATAGTCCCATATATTAACCCATTTTTGTGGGCAGCACATGTGCTTTTTATCAAGTTGGATTCAGTAGATATCAAGAAGATGATTCGGTCTTCATAGGGTCCACCAGTACCTATGTAATAGGCTATCAACCTTTACTTCAAGATAAATTTGTTCTCAATCTTATTGCGTAACCAGAACTTAGCTTTATCTTAAACCAATTAATGTGGCAAATTTGGTGCTGTGACCAGCACAAATCAGGCACATGTTTGTCTATAATGGACACAATCTGGTATACATGTCCCAGTACGAGTTGTGCAAATACGCATGCAGATGTTAATTTTATCTTATTTTCATCATTTGTAGATCTCTATCTTTCTGTTTATCGTCATTCCCACTACATACTGATCATGCAATTACAGGGATGTGCATTACAGCTAGTTGAGGCACAAGCAAATTGAAACTCCACCATAAATGCTTTCCTACGTGTATTGTCTCTGTTTGTGGCTGAAGTAAAGAGATGACGGACTCTTAATTCTTAATTTAATGAATGAATGATCCATAATTTGTTTAAGTGTTACGGTATGTCAACTTACACTCCAAAGTCTTGCTTGTTATTTATTTTGTAGCTTTGTTTTTAGATGATATTTTCATTTAAGCGCAGGAAATTACACATTTCCTACATTGTGTGAGATTCAACAATTACAATATAGTTGACTATTAAGTTTACTTTATTCAGCGCTCAGAATTATAGGATACTAAATAATACATGTAGTTCAATGTTACTCTTTCCTGCAGAAGAACTGCAAGGTGCATCAAGTTCACGGACGCTGCAAACATCACATCCAATTCCAGATGAAACTCCGGAGTAAGTTATGATCCTTTCTTTCACCTTCAATACTGTCAGCATGGTTAGTAGATGCAGACTGAGATCAGAGCATGTGCAGGTATAAACCTGAAATCAATAATGTCTCAGGAGGAGGGAGGGGCAAGGGGGCAGTTTGCCCCTCCAACAAATTTGCAACAACAACAACAACAACTTTATTACAGTAATTTATGCAACGTAAATGATAATGAAACTGCCGCAAAAACTGCATCATTAAAGTGTGGACATTATTTCCTTTTTTTTTTTCTCGCTGTGTCAATGTGAGTTTGCAATTAAATGCAATTCAATAAATGAAGAGAAGGGGAAACTGGGCTCACATATCTTGTAATTAAAGCTCAATATAAATAATTGAATCTGTATAAGGCTCGCTCGCAAATAAATAATAATTGCATTTCACTGTTGCTAATGGTGCATGTGATATCATATCAAAATCAAAATCATAACAATTCAAATTAAGAAGACTTGGGGAGGGGGGGATGATGTAACATTTAACAATTATAATAATCTTTATATAATGTAGTGTTTAATACCAAAAAACACAATGTTAAGCACTTTACAGATATTACTCCGGTTATTGGAAACATTCACGCACAATGTGCACCCTCTCTACTCCCTGGGGAGTATTCCATGTCTGTTGCATTAACCCCTCCTAGCAAATTAGGGTCCGGGAATGATCTTTGTCGTAAATACACTTTGGCTACAATTTGTTTCTACAACGCCGCCTCTCCCTGCTGTCGGTATATGTAATTAGATACATACTAAAATGCTTTGTTTATGATTTATTTAAGGAGCGGCTCAGGTAAACGGGACGAATTTGAAGAAAAGCTGACCACTGTTGCTCGAAGAGTTGCCACGCGTGTTGATATAGATAATCTCATGAAGGCTCTCTGCCTTCAACCAGGAGATGTCCAACACTATGCCAACGATAACAACAATTCATCATACATGGTTACACTATCAATGCTCCGAGACTGGAGAAAGAAGCAAACCAAGGCCACAGAGTGTGAAGCCCTGGAGGATGTTCTAGAGGAAGCTGGTCAAACCAATCTCGCCGATGAGCTATTTGGTACTTCATGAGATACAAATTATATGCTTCTCTACTGAGAACTGCATTGTTCCAATGAGAGTATAATGATTGCACAGCTTAATCAAAGTTCCTGATTGTTGGGGACTTGATGTACATAGTAGCATTTCTAGGATCAAACATTAAACTTTAAATATCTATCCTTGATTTGCTAGTGTTAGAAGTGCAATTTTGTAAGTACGTTTATATCTACTATGACTTTAGATTACCTTCAGCACATTCTTACAAGCCTATGCACTATCCTGTTGACTATTTGTTTTCACTATTACTCATTCCCATAAGCATAGCACAGGGACTACACGGTTCCAGTAGACAATGAGTTAAATGATGTTTATGAAGGAAAATATTTACTATTCCTGTTGCTATTCAAACGATATTTTGTTTTGCAATACTTTTTATGTAATGTACACTACTTTATGAATGAAAATATTCCCAACATAAGGTTTCGTTGGTATTTGTATAATATAGTTGTTCTTCTGAAATATGAATGTAAAATACATGTATAGACCATTGCTGCAATTTGAAGTGAAGTCACCATTTAACGCATTGGCTTCAAAGAATCATGTATGATTCTGTACATCGGGTCTAAGATGATATATACTTGTTAGTATTTAAAACATCATCACAAAGACTCTGGAGAATCAGCTCCAGACCAATTTCAACACCCTTTCTATAGCCCATATAAACCATGTTCAGATCATGTAATTCACTGTATATCACTGTAATGTTCATTTCAATAGTTGATGATGGACTAGTTAGACTAATAATATTGCCTTATCTTGATTTAGGCATGCCTTGCAAACTGTTTTTTATTGTATAACACAATAATATTAACCCCTCAAAAATTCTTATATCAGTTTTTCTATGGATTTATTGTCAAATGCAATTGTGTACATTTTTATACTCCAGATTTATATGCGTTATAGTTCAACAATGTTGTTATCATGGTTTGTAAAATAACAACAAAATTAAATGAAATGAAATATACATGCTCGCTTATCTTATATTGTTATAATCATTGCTATGATCTAATCACAAAGATTCGAAAGGAATACAAGGTTTACATTACAATGAATTGTGATGAAAGTAGACACTGTAAACTATGTTTAAAATTTTCAGCAAAATACAGTAATGCATATAAAAGATGTGAAATTCATGGCGTTATCAGAATGAATGGGACTAAATGTGTGTTATATTTTCGATGTAAATCCTCCTGATATTCTCACCATTGGTGGAGTAAGAAAAAGTACTATTGCAACAAGAACTCACCAAGGATTCTATGATTCTGTACCTTAGGGAAAAGAGCTAGACTGACCATTATAAGTGCCTCCATTTTGGATTTCGTTTGATAAAACAGAATCCCAAACATGTCAATAATTGTTAATCGTCAGTATATCACTACAAAATATCGTACCTATCTTTGTCAAATATTAAATGTGATTTGAAAACACTCTGCAGTAAGGAAACGATCTACATAAAAACTATATCATTATCATTAATAGTTTGACGTATTGCCTATAGAAATGTGCACATATTTGATTGCCCTCTTCTGTATATAATATGCTTACTATCATACATGATAATAAGGTTCTGAAATTGCTACAGGCTAAATAATCAAAATGTAATGTATGCAGATATAATGTTGAGTTTTCAGATATGAACGAATGCGAGAACATGCTTTTTTTTATTTTGATATATTCCGTGAAGACATTTTTTTTAATATTATTTACATGTAAATTTCAAAGAGAAATATCCTTAAGTATTTTCCATTTTGTAGATTGTGATCTGTGTATTTCAAACGCGTAAATTACAATGTCGTATTATCTATTTATCATGTCAAACAGTGAAATATAAACATTTAAATCTCTTTTCGGTGTTCGTTATGAAACACAGAATGCTCTAATATGTGTTATTGATACTTGTGAGAATTCCTTCACAGATTATTGTGCCGAAAGTCTTTCATTTTGTAAATAACTACCTTGCATTTTCATTTCCTTTGATATTCCAGTCTTTCAAGGGTGTGTGTGCTGAAATTATTTCATCCTCTTCATAGTGCACTATTCTGCACCTCATGTATACACGTAGGCAATATATAAAATGTGTGATGCATATACATATATGAATTTCAGTTATTCAACAGGTAAAGGCTTGTTCGGGTAAAGCGCGGTAAACCGCCGGGGAGAAAAGCAACCGCGGTTTATTTGACGTGTAAACGAACAGCAACTTTGCGCAACGAAGGACTTGCGCGTATTTTTGTAGCTCTGTTGCAAAATACAGAAATGGGAAGCGTATTAAAAATAAATTAAAAATGCGGTTTTGCTGCGTTATATCTGACCGAGCCTTAAAGTGATACAAAGAAAATGTTCATGACATTGTATATTACTAGCAAATAACTGCACACGAGGATGATATGTCTTGCCTCTTTAAACCATCCTCATTGAGTCACTTTGCCAAGTGAATTTATTTTCATGTATACACCAAATATACTTCATATCTTGCACAGTGTCTATAAGTAGACAAAAAATATAACTTTTTTTGTGGTCTTCTAAATATATGAGATTCATATGCATTGGTATTTTGATACTCTCTGTATATATTTTAAGTATTGTGAGAACTGTTGTCGGTACTACTGTACATGTATTTTGTTTCTCAATATATGATGTGAATGAATTTGTATTTTTGTATAGACCTGCTCCTGAAATGTATTGAAGTAGTTTACTGTTATCTACTTTTGAATAAATAAAAAGTGAATACCTGTCAAAGGTAAATGCCTATTGTATATAAGCGTCCTCGGTATTAATGATGTGAGTTAATTGGTGTAGCGGTAATGTCCGTGCTCTCTGTCTTCGTCTACAAACTTACCCTGATAGGAACCAGGCTCGCGAAACTGAGTCACGTCTTTCGGATGGCGGTCCAACACGTAAATCATCTCTGGTTGGTGAGCGTCTATACAAAAAATACACACACACACACACGCACACAATTTTTTCCTGTAATTGTTTATTTTTATTTCATTCAATATGAAAATGTACAATTAATTCCTCAAAATACAATTCCTTTTCATCATAAGAACAATTCAATTAATTACTTCATACATGTAACAATTCATAAATTAATAATGTAAAACAAAATCGAATGAAATCAGTTACAATATCAAACAAATTATAACCCCATCCCTTACTACCCAACCCCAAATAAAAACCCACTACGATCTGTGACTCACTCAGCCTCACACGTAAACATGCACACTCACACATACCCGACCACACTGCAATGATAAACACTCTCACGGAAGAACGCCCTCACCTATGACTCCATACACCTCCACAGCAAATGCAAATGAGGCAATCCGCGCGTGCTACCTTGTCTATACTATTCAATTTGCCTATGACACAGCCCCTCCTCCACACAGACACACACGAGCGCGCGCACACCCACGCGCACACACGGTATTATCGGAGGTTTATATGTAAATACTTCAACCTAAATTCGCAAAAAAGTAGAAATATATGCCCGAATGTTCAATGTTGAAGTGCATTCGCGATATCTATCCAGGCCGGATCGATATGCTAATTTACCAAATATATCAATACGTAAGCGGTTTCCCGGCAAAATTTGTATCATCACATATTAGTCAAAAAAATTCTTTCACATGATTCGTAATGAAAGCTTCCATTTCGTCTTTTGATAAGGGGCGTTTCTAAAACTGATTTATACCTTTCAGTGTCCCATATCCTTTCCAATAAGTGCCACTTTCCTTCTGATTATTGCCCCTTTTCTTTTGTAATATTAAGTGCCCTATTTCCGTTCTCATAAATGCCTTTCTTCGTCCGGTCTCTTGTGTGAAGGCCTACCTGTTATCATCTGCGAGAAGTGCCCCATTTTCACCTCTCATAATTTTTCTTTTTACTTTTTCATGTACTCTTTTACTTTTCTAACAAGTGTCCTATTTCTTTTGGATATGTGCCCCCTTTTTCACCATAAAATGTTTAATTTTAAGCGAGATTATCTTTTCATTTCATTTCCCCCAAAATCGCTCGCATCTGAAATTGAAATAGACTATAATTATGTTCATATTAAGGATCATTTCAGTCTTTCATGATTAAATGTGCTTAAAACCCCATCAGGATTGATTTTTTTTCTCACTTTATATGTAATTTTTTGCTCTGCGACCGCACAAATCTTAAAACTTGGCTCGCTCGCTTCGCTTCTTGCTAAAAAAAATATTGAGACCATCACACCCAAATGCAAATTATGATTAAATTTCAAATGATTTTATTTCTCATGCGAAACATAATACAATGAATAATTATATTACAAAAATATGCAATGAAACGACAAATATAATAGAAAAAGCACGAGATAAGAGGAACTAACTAGAAGCAGAGCTTGTTGAATTGTTAGTTCCTCAGATGCTGTTTTACAATATAACATGAACAAAGTATACTTAGGAAATCAATAAATAGAAGAAAAAAATATGTAGCTAAGAAATTATAGATTTTGGGGGGGGGGGAGAAAAAAATAAAAGAGAGGAAAAAATGAAAGAAAGATACCAAAAAAAAGGAAACATGAATGATTGTAAAAGTCTAGAAAAAGGAGGTTAGATCAGTAAAAAGAGGGAGAAAGAGATGGAGTGAGAGTCAAACAAACCAAGATTCATGTATATGTGTATACAAGTTTAATCTTTAGCTTTTTTTTAAATGTGTATAGACTGGGACTTTGTTTAAGAGATGGATCTATGTTATTCCGAAATACTGGACCGATGTAGATAGTTGTTTTTGTGCGAAAGCTGTTCTCATTCGAGGTGTGTGGAAGTGTTTCGACTGTTTAGTGGGGTATGAATGTATCTCGTTATTTTTTTGAAAAATGGAGGAAATTGGGAGAGGTAACTCGTTATTAATTAGTTGGAACACAAAGATACCGAGGTACAAAGAATACGAATCATTAATTCCAAGAATTTTATCTTGTAAAAATAAGTGGTTAGTGTGGGAACGAAAGTAGACATTATGGATTTTTCTCAATGCACGCTTCATCAAAATTAATATTCAATCAATTAAAGTCTTACAAGGATTTCCCCATGCTAAAATTCCATAATTTAGGTAAGGCAAAATAAGGGTTGTATACAGTGATGATAAAACCGGTAAAGGAAATGTTTCTTGATTATAATTAATATGCACTTTCCATGTCATTTTGCGATCAACATGAATTCCAAGGAATTTTGTACTTCGAACACATTGTAGTTCGATACCATTTATTTGAATAGGACCAGGAAGATGATCAATAGTGTTGCTACATATCATATTATTTGTCTTTTTAATATTCAAGATAGTTTATTGGCTTGTATCCAACTTTGAACCAAAACTAATTCCGAGCTAATTTAGGAGAGTTTGTGGGTCATGACATGAGAGAAAAATATTGGAGTCATCAGCAAATATTATGAAAGATAAAATATTAGATGATCGTTTGAAATCTTTTATATATATATATATAGTATGAAAAGAAGGGGGCCGAGAAGAGAGCCTTGAGGCACCCCACAGGTAATATTTGTAATTGATGACTGGAAGTTATTTACAGAGGTGTATTGCGTTCTGTCTGAAAGGTAGCTACTAAACCGCTCAATGGGCCTTCCCTCTGACACCGTAGTGAGACAGTTTATTATTAGAAAAATGTTATGGTCAATAGTATCGAACGCCTTTGAGAAGTCTAGAAATAAACCGATTGTGTGACAAGAGTTATCAATTGCACAAACAATTTTATTAATGAGTGTTAACATAGCATGACTTGTGGAGTGTTTTTTTTTCTAAATCCAAATTGAACGTCACTAAGTAAATTGTGTTGTGGATGGAAATTTATAGTTCGTGAATACACAAGTTTTTCTAATATTTTGGAAAAAGAGGCAAGTAAAGAAATTGGCCTATAATTTCCCTGTTCACGTGCTTCGCCTTTTTAATACAGGTATTACTTTGTCTCTTTTCATTAAAAAGGGTACGTCAACACATATAAAAGAGAGGTTAAATATATGGGTTATAGTAGGATGATTTCGGAAATAACATTTTTAAGTAGTATACTTGATATGCTATCATATCCAGTGCTCTTTTTCCTCTTTAAATTGTTAACAATATCAATAACCTTTATCTCTAGTACCGGGGAAAAAAATAGAGATTCAAGATTTCGACGATCTAGAAATGAATGAAATAATCGATTTGAGGTCGGGATGGCATGTACAAGATTAGGTCCTATATTTACAAAGTAATTGGTGAAACTCTCAGCAATAGAAACAGGGTCTTTAAAGCATGTGTTTCCGACCAAAATCTCTTAAATATTCTGCTTATTACTGTTTCTATTAAGTGCATTGTTAATTAGCTTCCAAGTGTTTTTAATGTCATTTCTACGAAATTCGAATTGTTTAGAGAAGTAATCTTGTTTTGCATAACGTAAAATGCTAACTAGGGTATTTGTATAGGTCTTATATATTTCTTTTCGTTCGACTCTGTCGGCTTTAACTTAAATTTGTAAAATAAGCGATTATTTTCCTATTAATTGAACATAAAAGGGATATTGTTATCCATGGAGATCGTGGAGTCTTTCTATAATTTTAGTTCCTACTTGTATTTTGAACAGGTAAGTCTCTTTGATAATATCGAGTGAAAATTTCAAGAAAAAGTTCAAATGCTTACATCGCGAGAAGTTAAAACCTCAACCCAGTCAA